TTATTTTGGAACCCGATGAAATATCACGTTAAAGAGAAAATGGCCTATCTCGCCTTAGGTTTTTTTTTTATAATTGACGAGCACAGATATGTAAATACTTCCACAAACATAAGCCGACTGATGGGGAGACGAGACTGAGACTGTCTGCCTGCTGAAATCTCACGAGACAACAGCACATTTCGGCAGCCGATGCCGGCTCAGGAGGTTTTCGAAGTGACGAGACCGGCAGGCGAAATACATAGCTCGGGTACGGTGGGCAAACCGCCACTGCTGGCAAAGGTACTCAAATGAATGGGCGAGTGGGTGGTGGGAAGTGGGCTAGCTAGCTGACTGTCTGCTTGCCTTGTCACCTTGTCGCCTTGCCTGTTGGTCAGTTGGCAGCCTAAGCGAGCGCATTGGTATCAAACTTCGGCAGCAGACGAGCGCAATATTGAACGGTTGATGGCACAGCAACGACAGCTGCAGCTGCTTTGGTTTTGTTTTGGGTTTTCATAAATGAAATGCGAGCAGAGCGGGGGATGGTGCAGTGCGGCGCACGGTAATGGGAGATTGACGACGAGAAATACAAACATAAATTTGTATGCGCACTTATGCATAATTAAGTAAAAAACATGTTTAACCAATGCAAATTATAAGTGCTCGCACGATGTTTGATAAAACTGATAAGAGCACATGATAAGGAAATGTCATCTGGCTCATATAAGGTTAATCTATATTTTGTATAAAAATTAAAAATTCTTTAGAGATAAGAAAATGTACACAGTATTAGAAATACATTAGGGTGGTGGTCCTTAAAAATCAAATGAATGATTTTTTTCAACCTCAATCCCTCAAATTGTACTTAATACCATGGTCACACATATCACAGATATGACGTGTCGCTCAGGGGGCAAAGTTCAGATTCCTCTAAGGAGACTCAAAAAATTTAAATTAATTTTTTGTTCACCTAATACCCAAAACCGATGCAACTATAGTCGAAGATATCACCTATACATTTTGGTGCCGATTGGAGTCGGTTAAGGCGTGAGGCGTTGTGAATTAATAGGAGAGTTCACTAAATTGAGCAGGTGACCTGGCACTCGGGTAAAAACGCTGATTAGATCAAGTAAAAACATTGACAATTTGTGTTGCTTTGAGCTAATCAACTCTTTTACCAAAGTGTCAGATCACCTGCTCAACTTGGTGAATATCCCTATTGTATTCGTGGCTGTTGGTTTTGTGTACTCTTCGAATTCTATCTTATTCGTGGTATTGTTTGTTTAAATACGTACAAATGTAACTACATACATATAAATATACTATAACTCATATTCAATAAACTCTAAAGACATTGGACTAGCATTGCTTCGTTTTGAGAACTGTCGAAAATTATTTTTGAAATGTACGAAATCGTACAATGCGAAATCACACAATTTGGTAGCGTCAGCCCAAAAACATAAAACTACACTAACAAACTAAAGATATTAATTTAAATAAAATCAATTTTTACAGCAAAATTTAGGAAATCTTTATAAAATTATATAGAATTTTTCCTATCCCATGCTTTTCTAGTAACTGCGCCTAGATAATTTTAAATTTTGTAAATTTTTTTTAGCAAAAAAAAGAAATAAAAAATAATTGTAATTTTATTTTTTATTTTTAGTTCATTATAAATAGTATGCATCTACGAAAATATGTGTTTATGGATATGTGCACCATTTGCGAAAAGTTGTATGTACCATGCAGTACGTCATTTCAATTCATAAATACATATTAAATACGCCTCGAAATGTTAAACTGGTTCTCATGGACAAATCTATATACATACATACGTTCGTACCTTTGTTCGTACATATTTATGCATGTATTGTACGTCTATTTAATTTAATTTTTTTCTCCTCATTTTGTTGCTATTTTAATCACATTATGTAGAGAAAGTGGGTTGGGTTGGCACCTTGAAGTATACTGAAAAATGTATCTATACTTAAGGCTGATGTACATACTACAGGTACATATGTATATATATGTAGATACATATGTACATATGTACATATATAAGTATCAGTGTAACCTATTTAAATATATACCCAATCAATATGTACATGTATGGACTTGATTACATAGCACATGCACTCATACATACATATACATATATACTGTACATATGTATGTACGTTTAGTTGTGCTATAGCATCTGTAGGTTTCTTGATAACTTTTTTCTTCGCTGTATTTGGAGCTTAATTGGGTTTGGTCATATTGAATTTATCTCGCTTTAAAGCTCAAATTGAACCATAAAGTTGCATTTTTGCACGCTCCACGAAATGCGACGTGATGATCGTTGATACTGATGGGGTACCATAATGTATGTACATAGGTACATACAATTAAAAATGTTTGTAGGCACCCTGCTAACAATTTTTTCAGCGTATTCTGAATTGTAGAGAAATTTTAATTTAAGAGCTTCTCTAGCATTCTTAGAAGCTGCAACTTTGTCTCTGTTAAAACAAATCTTTCTCTACGAAGGAAGCACCAATAAACACAGACGCGTTCAAGCTTGACTTCAGAGTCGGTGCTGGGGTCTTATCCACGGCAATTCTTGAGCTAAAAATCTGCTTTTAAGGCTCAAAGATACTTTGTGGTTGCGGCGAATTATTATAATAATTAAACCTAGTTAAACTTGTATGGGTACCAGAGCACAGAAATATTGCAGAAAACCGCATTGCATGGCACGAGAAGAGAATGGGAGATCGCAAACGAGGACATAAGCAGGGGCGGATCTACGGGGGGTGGGGGAAATAGTTAAAATTTGTCAAAAAATGTGTTCTTCGAAAAAACATGCAAAACCACAGGATTTATAAAAAAAATATTATTTTTTATTAAAATAATATCCCTGCAAACCATGTTTTCAGAGTATTCTGCATTGTAAAGAAATTTGAAAGAATTCGTTAAGATTTAATTAGATTTTTTGCCGAATTTTCTAAAATTAAATAAATTACGCACACTTCCATTCTTTTACGAAATTTCGGAAGAAAATCTGTGAAGCAACGAAAATAATGCTGCTATGTGAAGAATATCTTTCAGAATTTTTCCAGAATTTTCTTTATTTTTCGTACAGAAATTTCTTTACGAGTTCGTGTCCACCCCTTTATATAATTTTCTTTGAAAATTCGTAAAAAAATCGTTACAGAAATCAGATACTCCTAACGACTTCCTTAAGATTTCGGGAACTTTGGTTTGTAGGGATAATAGATTTTGAGACGAGCAACACGATTCCCTGTTCAAAATTCGAAAAAAGTTGAACACCTCAATTTAAAAAAGGTATTATTTACTGCATTTTTTTATTATTTGCATGTAACTGTGCATCCTTCATACAATTTTATATCCCTCGAATAACGCTGCAGTGCTATTCAAGATCTTTAATTTGAGCCAAGTTAGAAGTCTCCAGGACGTCTGAGGGCCAAGTTATAACAATTTTAAACCAAACTTCGAAACTGCTATAATAGTTTTTACTCCGAAATTAGAAAAAAAAATGCGTGAAATGTATAAAACTTTTTTTGTTCAAACTTATATTACAGGTGCCATAAGGTGTCAAGGGTCAGACTTCGAAAATCAAAAATAATTATATTTCAAAAAATTTTAAACTGTTACAACAGACCTTTTATATAAACGCTAGCAAAGAAAAGAGGTTTGTAAAGTTATTTTTGATAAAATATTAAGTTTAAGTATATTTAAATTGCATAATTTAGCTGAAAAAAGTGATCACGGTGACGCAGAGAAGAAACATAATTTTTCCTTGAGATGTGAGAATAACAAGCACAAAAAATTTGACGGCTAATACTCTGAGATTTGCCTGTCTAAATAGGGTGATTAAAAAACGAGCTGTGATTGAGATTATATTTATATGTAAACATACTTTTAAGGATTTATTTTCTTTATCTTTGAAAACACTTATCAAGTAAATTCAGTTTAGATTTTAGACAAAACAACCAGCAACGTTATCTTCTTTGGCCTACAGTCAAGTCTTCTCTTCGCTACAGTCAAGGAAAATGCTTACGAATGGCTTACTAGCGAATACCAGCCAGGTACACGCACTTCTACTCGCCCTAAACGAATTCGCTGCCTCGCTGTCCATCGTATCCACTTAGCACCCAGTACCAAGCTAATTAAAATTTACGATAATGTGCAAAGTGTAAAAAAAAAACTCGTATAAAATTTCATACAGCGAAGTAAAATAGAAAAAAAAAGCCCGAACTCGAATAAGAAATTTAAATGGAATACATTCATACATATGTACATACATATGTACCAATCGAATGGCCCTACCCTCCACACAGTTCGTTCGACGCGTCGTCTTTGGCTGTCGCGCGCTGTCGTTTTTCATTTTTCGTTTTTCAACGAATAACAGAACAGCTACAACCAAACTACAGACGGTAGAGTACATAATGTCAGCAACAACAACAACAGCGATATAGCCCCCAGCGTCCACGTCGACTGCAGCAGCGCAAATAAATAGAAGATGGCAAAATAATAAAACAAAAATTTACGTGGAAGTAGACAAAAGCTGCAACAACGAAGCATACAACCACACACACACACACAATTCACAACTGTACTGCACTGCGCTGCGCTGCGGACCGTTCACGAAAATCAAGTAAAAGAAAAAAAAAACAATCCACCAATTTGCTTTTGCTCGGTCGTTGTTGCTGCAATCGTTCGCTACTTGCACAGCGCAATTGCTATTGTTTTTGCAATCGAGCACTCGCATATTTTCGTTGTTGTTTTATAATTTTTTGGCGTCTGAAGCGTGCGAGCGAGCAAGTGAACGACGAACAAGCGAACGAGTGAGTGAGCGTACAATCGAGTGTACTTATGCATGTACATATTTAAATATATGTATATGTATGTACGAAAATATGTGCGCGCGATTGTGTTTTCATACGAAATTCGAATACTTGTAGTCGCTGATGCTACTACTGCTGCCCGCAGCTCACCGTCTACTTTCGTCGTTCGTTCGTTCGTTCGCACGTTCGTTAGCTGCGCTTCGTCGACATCACTGACATGCCTACAAACAACCACACGGCCATGGCGTACAGCAGTGCCGCCGCACTGTAGTGTAGCCATGGCGCGTATAGAGACAGAGCCAGCTAACGAAATTTAACCGAATTGCTGAAGCGGGGCCTGCCGAACTGTTCGCTTTGCCTTTGCTTTGCTTCCCATATTTGTATAGCCCATTCGGCTGCCATCGTTGCGGTTGCTGCGCCGCTGCTGCTGCCACGGCTTCTGCTAAATCGTCATCGGTAGTGTTGCCATCTGTGCTGTTGTTGTTGTTATTATTGCTGCTTTTGGCTGGTCTGGTGTGGCTGGTGTGGCGCACAGTGTACTAGCAATGACGATGACAACAACGACGTCGACGCTGTCGGCGACGCGGGCAACGGCAGCAGTGGGCAGTGGTGATGGTGGTGTGTACAGTTTATGCAGAGGCGTGTGTTTGTGTGCATTTTGTGTATATTGGGGGCTTCAACTTCAGTTCGTAGAAATAATTTTCGTTACGACGATCACACTCGTTTATGTATTGCGAAGACGTGAAGACGTAACGAAGGCCGCGACGCTTGAATTTTCGCGTACAAAATACACACATTGGAGAAAAACGCTTACATACAAACACTGTAACGCTATTAGAAAATTATTTTAAATAATAAAATTTTCAAAGCAAAAAAAAAACACATGCAGTGCAAAGCGAAAATAATTCGCTGAAGAAATATTGTAGAGAAATACATATCTAAACAAGCCATATAACGCAAATATGGAAAGAGTGAAGTGTACAAATGTGTGACTGCATTTGGTGTGAAACTCAAAAGGCCCCTTTACGCAGCAAATGCTGATAAAAATTTAACAAAAACGAAAAATTGGACGGGTGTGGCGCTGTGGGACATTCGACATCCCTGCACATACATACATACATAAACTATTAGTAGTGAAAAAAAAAAATTAAATTTAAAATTAAAGAAAAGAAAATACATTTCTTCGTTATGCGGCTCGCTGCTGCCGCGTAAGCGGTCGTCGCTACCGTTTCACTGCTGTCACCGCAGTGCGTGCGTATGTTTGTAGTGTCGTTTGTGCTGTATTGACGCGACAAAAAAAAATCAAAGAAAAATAGCACACGCGTCTTGTGACAATCAATCAACAAGGAAAAAAAAGAAAGCCACTACAAAAAAAAAAGAAACTAAAAGCAACAGAACCACAACACAAAGTCAGGGAGAAAGCTGGCGAGGCGACACAGTTGCTCACGCGAGAGGAATACGCAAAATTAGTAGCCGTAAACGTTTAGCGAAAATGTACACATGTGTGTACCCGTAATTTGTGAATAGCCCCATCCGAAAATACAACACCCTATATGCCAAACAGCATAACGCCGGTAATTTGTAGTTTAGTGCAGAAAATAATAAAGAATAAAGCTGTGCTAATATCAACAAAAAAGCAAGCGATACCCTGAAAGACCTAAAATATTATAAAAACCGTGTTCCTGCTAATTCCTTCGTTTACATTTTTTTTTTCTTCGCATGTATGTTCGAAATTTGTCCAACTGAGAATTGCACAAGTTCGAAGTTCGAACATTGTGATTGACGCGTGAGCGAGCACAAGCTCCAACCGCGCTTGAGCTTGCAAAACGCAAGCAAGTTCTGAAAGCAACCCTATATTATCCGAAAAAAAAAACAATCGCAAAATTTGAGCGCGCCCAGTTGCAACAATTTCCATCGCAACTGCAAATTTTTATTTCTACCAAAATTACATCGTTTAACTGAAGCGCCACTAGCATGTCCGCTGATATACAGATAATCAGCGTGATTGGCGCCAATGGCCAACCGCTGCCCATACATGGGAACAGCATCGGCTCGAATTGGAGCGCACCTGTCAAGCAGGAACGCGCCGACGAGGCTGAGATCCAGGAGTTAGCGGCCAAGATGATGGAAACGCAAAAGGCCGCATTGGCTAAGCAACAACAACAGGCTGCCCAGCTGGCTACGCGTCAACAAGTGGGCGGCATGCAAGCCGGTGTAGGCAACAACAATAATAATGGTCAGGCGAACATACTGAACTACTTGACACGCCAACAGAAGCTGCCGAATGGCACCAGTGCAACCGCCACCAATGGCAATGGACGAACCGGTGCAGCAGGTGCACAGCAAAATGGCAATGGCAGTAGTAGCGATGCCACCGGCGAGAAGAAAGCGCCATGCGATGAGGAATCACAGAAGGGACATTTTGGTTGGACCACATTTGGTAAAACTTACATTCCGTACATCTATAGGCAGCAGGAGAAATATTGTTCGGTACGAATGATTGAGATGAAGCTATTGGGCAAATATCTCAATTGCTTGCACCCGGACATTTACTCCAGTTGCACCTGCGTGCGTAGCTATTATATAACGGAAGCAGAGGCGCGACTTCTAATTGAAATTAATATAAAACACTGTGATGGTGAATTTGGACGCGACATTTTCACGCAAAAAGATTTGGTGGTGCGCCTTTCGGATGCAACCAAATTCTATCAGTTCCTAGACATTTGTTACCGCAAGCTCATCTCTGGCAGCAAGTCACCCTCGGAGAAGTGCGGCTTTATACGCATCAATAAGGAGAGTGTCGTGCCGTATACGGTGCGCAACAACGAGCAAGTGGTGCCGCTCTTCTATTTCGAAGGCGAAACTGAGAATCTCAAACAGAAAGCCGACTATCTCTCTGGTTGGGATCTGGCCTACTTGAAGTTCTGCTGCAAAGTGCAGGGCATACGCAATGAATTATTCTCCAGCGAAAATGTGGCAGTCATTTCATTGACAGACATTAAAAGCTATTTCCCCAATGGCACCGAATTCGAAGACTATTGGCCCAGCAAAGTTGTCGACTCAAATCTGCTCATTGGCAATCGTACAAATGCTAATAATTCGGTAAATTGGACGCGCCAACCCACGCAACCACCGCCAAAAGTGATGCCACAATCAAGTATGTTGCAAAAACAAACGGCTGCTGCAGCGGCTGCGGCACAACAGCAACAGCAACAGATGATGAAGCGTGGCGCCAACGCCTACGCCACACAATCATCGGCAGCAGCGGCGGCGGCAGCAGCAGCAGCAGCTATGCAACAACAACAGCCCGGCCAACGGATGCACCCATCCAATGCTGCATTAGCGACTGTGCAGGTGCGCTACAACAACAACAACAAAAATAAACATTACATGCGAATTCAATTTGAAAATCTAACTAATCTCAAACAAAAATCTTCGTATCTTTTCTCTTTCATATAACAACTCGTTCGGATCCGGTCGTGCTAAAATGGAATGATACTGCTGTTCAAACGCCTTCTTTTGGACTTTCACGCGTGTAGGCTTTGACAAATACGTGGATGCAGCAGCAGCCTCTTATTCATGCACAAATGTTGGCTTCGCAGGTGAGAATTCTCAACAAAATAAAAAAAATATTAAGCCTTTTTACGGCAATTACTACAAAATAAAATATATTTGAAAAGCTCTAAAATAGGTAAAAAGCCATTAAATTAGGCATTTCAAATATATATTTTTTTTCTGAAAATAGTCAAAGCTATTAAACTTGCCCGATATTTAGGTTTTTTTTTTTTGAGTGTAAAAAATTGGAAAAGCTAAGTTTACAAGGGACATCTGTGGCCTAGAATGCGGCGTGATGTTTTTGAACGCTTAGGTACACGACTCCAACCCCGCTGATATAACGTCTGCAAATTTAAACTTTTTTTTTTTGAAATCATACATGTATTTCATAAAAAACAAGTAATTTTTAAGCAAAAAACAAAACCGACTTCAATTCTCATAAAAATTTAGGAGTACCGTTAATTTTTCATGATCCAATGATCGGATCTAAACCAGATTATTATGAGACCACCTGTGAGGTAACATACATAAAAAATAAAATATTCTGACGAATTGATAACCTCCTCCTTTTTTGTGAAGTCGGTTAAAAACTGGTCTTTAGCTCGTATTTGTTCGGTTAATCCTCAAGTTTCTTAGACTAACTTCGTGCGAAACACATTTTGGTGAAAACAGTTTTTCAGAAATATTGCACAGATTGGCACTTTGTGCCAATAGAAGGAACATGTATACATATGTATGTAGTTGTTGAATAGGTACAACACCCCTGATTCCACTCCTGCCAGCAATGAAGTTTTTCTTTGTTCGCACATTTCAACGGAAAACTTAGTCAGTGGGAAAAGTACATTAAACTCACTTTAATCTGCATGAATGCCTGGTTGCTTGTCTATAGTTGGCCTACTTTTGGTTTCACGCTGGTTTTGTTTCGGTTTCATTTTATTTTATTTTTCTCTTTGCCGCTGCCACAAGTTGCCAAACTGTAGGAAATAGTGCTTGCCACGCGGCAAGTTATGTACACCCATACTATTAGAACTTACATAGTGTTCCACTGGATTGTGTTTGCGTGCCTGCACTCTAGGCTGTGGTGCACTCTAGGCAGTGGAAATCATCGAGTGTAAAAATGGCAAATTTAATTCGTATGGATATGTTTTGCTAATGCTTAAAATTTTTAGTTTAATGCTTATTGCACATGTATTATAGTATATGTATGTATGTATCTGTATGCCTGTTCAATTGCTTGCATTTTGATATTTCGTTTTTGTTATCGTTTTTATTCTCTACATGTGTGGCCATTGGTGAATGTAGCACAACGGGCATGGTTATGGGTACCATCAACAGAATAAACGTCAAAGACACATTGAAAACTGCATGAGTTTCGTAGGAGCTTCCCAACAGCAGCCGATGCCTGCACATCAATACGTTCAAAATAATGACAATCACAGACATTACTCAAATCAAAATCGTAATCGGTTGCATTCGCAACAATTCCGTAACCCTTACAATTTACAATATTTACACTGAGCAAACAAGAAATTTAAGAAAAAGTACCTTCTATGAACATACATAGCTGCAGATGAAGCAGTCGGTTATTTCATGTTAATTTGTTGTTAGCAGAGGCTAGCAGCCAAGCGAAATCTTAATCAAACGCGGGCGCTTTATGACGTCCGCTATGACAACCTAGCAACCACAACTAGCTTGCTAATGATAATCAAAATAATGGAAAAATACAGACGAATTAGAAGCGAATACAAAGCGGCTAAGCATTAAGAGAAGTGTACTGCTTTTCAGTGTAGTATGTGCGTGAATTAACAAAATACCCGCACACAAATGAACATACTACGTACAAATGTGGTCAAAAAAAATTTTCTCAGCGAATTTTTAACCACAAAAAATATCTACATACCTCATCGGCGAGACTTATCAGTGCGCCAAACCAAAATAATTATTTTTCTTTTTTTTTTTTGTGGGAAAAAAGCATTCAGTAACACCAAAGATACCACAGATTCATGATTGAAAAAAATATTTAATTACATTTTATAAATGTTATATTTGTAATTAATCATCAAATTTAATGCAATAAATGAATACTTAAGTTTTACAAATCGTTAATAGTGTAGTTTAAAATATTTGTGGCGATTGCGTAAGTTGGCTCTATTTTACAAAATTTTCCGTTGCGGCAACATCAAATGTGGGATATTCCTGTTACATGTGCCCGACTACCGCGGGAACGTTAATTTCAATCGGATTTGTCTGGCAATATTTTTTGCAAATTTGGATCTATCAAAGACTAGGAGCTGATTTTTTTGTTTATCTTGTTGCAGTAGCATTAATGACGGGATATATGAACCTAACTGCCACTAAAAGTCTAAAACTTTAACTGAAAAAGTTTAAAGTTTTAAAAAGGGTTTTTCTAGATTTGCATAGCAATTAAATGACCGCTTATTCAGTAAAAACATTTAAAGGTGTTAGTAAACTTATGCTTACTTTTGTTAATATTGTTCTTGAACGAATTTTTAACGGGAAGAAAACATGCATTTTATGTCGAAGGTACTTTTTGTTTTGACATCATCATTTTTTGCAAATCTATGTCGTACTACGTTTCAACTAAACGGGCCAAATATGAAACAAATCAGAGCATAAATACGGTTTTCAAAATATCTCGATCCCGGCGCCACCTAGCGAGACCATTTTTGGCAAAAAATTTTCTGCCTACATAACCCGTATATATTATAAAAAGCAGCAAATCGGCCTATAAATAACTTAGATAAAGGACTTCAAATTTTTTTTTTACCCGGTAGACTTCGCTGGAGTCGCCCATAAATACTTTCCGAAACAATTACATATATCCCTAAGCTAGCTCCGTACATATGTATGTATCTTTAGTGCATTTTTTTTTAATTGTGCCACATTCATATTTCTTTTGTTCTATATAAAAAAAAAATCGTATTTTTTTTTGTATACTTTCAGGCGCAACAGTCACATCCCAATTCACGTGCCCCACAATATCAACGCAGTCCAATGGAGAATATCCTGCTCGGCAATCGGCCGACCTATGCTGCCTACAATAATCCAGCGATTTCGATGCAACCCGTGAATAGTCACAATCAAGCGAATGCGCCGCCGCCATTGGTGCGCTCTGGCGCTGGCCAAAGCGCCAACCATATGTGAGTATGAATAGACGTTTTTTAAAGAATCAAATGCAAACTCTTAAACTTTTACTCAATTCGAAAAAAAACAAAACATTTATTAAAATTCAAATATGAATTTTGTATAAAGTTTATCTGTTCTAAAAAAGAAATTGTTTACAAAAAATGTGTTTTTCAAATTTAGTTGTAATTCGTTTAACGATTACTTTCTAATTAAGGCAAACAAAAGAAAATAATATTTTGTTTCTATTGGTGCATACACGCTGCTTGTTGCCAACTGTTGTATTGCAAAAAAAGTATGCACCACATAAATTTTGTATCTTTTGCTTTTTCCACATAAACAAGTTTCCTTTTACGATTGTTTTAAATTTGAATTTTTAAAGCTGTTTTATATTGCAAAAATCGGTGGTTGTGCACGCATTTAATTTAGTACTTTTTCACAAATCGAAATTCGTTTCTCCCTCCCTCTTTTTAATATTGGGTTTCTTATTGTTGTAGTGTTTTTCTTTGAAGTTTCTTGTAAAAATTGGGCCTTTTAGGATCGTTTTCTCAAGTAGGTTTTAACATTTATCTGTTCTTTGAACACAAATTTTAACGTAAAAAAATGCGTTTGAAGAGCCGATTCATAATTTTAAAACCTACTTGAGAAAACGGCAGTTATATATATTTTCAGCAAGTTATAGTTTACCATCTGAATTAAATTATTTAGTGAAATATTTTTGAAGTACATACCTTAAACTAAAAGCATAGAGCGCAATCCTATATTTTTCCATTATAGTTTTGATTGATTCATACATATCGTCGATGTTTTTGCAAAACCGTCCATCGACCAATTGCAAAACCGGCACTAAAATTTTACAGCAGAGCGAAACAAGGGTTTTTTTTTGAGGGCATTGCCTAGAAAGGCGGTATTTTCTTTAGCTATTATTTTAGAAATCTGTTGTTTTAATAGATTTCACGATTTTTATGCATAAATCTCGATGCCTGGAGTTCAGGGTTACTAAATCCCATTTTTGCCACAACGGCGATTTAGGCGGGTTTACAACTGGTCGATGGACGGTTTTGCAAAAACATCGACGTATATTCCAGAGAATGATTTAGCTGAAATTGATTTATTTTGAAATACGCCTACAGATCGTTTTGCTTTCACAAATTTTCACTATTTAGGCACACGATTAAATATCATGGTATTCCGTGACGTTGCGCATCATTTGGAGTTGTTTCGTTGTAAAATAATTTTTCACTTAGACCCTTGCAAAATAATGCTCCGCAGCCACTGGTAAACAAACACTTAGTTATTGGCTTATTAACGTAATTACAAAAAGCATTTTCGCAAAAAAATTGCACAAGCAAAAGTTTTCACAAATTTTCGCGAAGCCAATGAACCGCTTTAAAATGGCGCCGATTCTGTCACTTTGTGCTTTGTTGTAGTTCGACTGTGTATTGCAGGAAGGAAGTGACAAGTAAAAAGTGCAGCCAAGTTTGCGTGCACAGGGCTGCAATATGCGGATATGCGAGCTCATTTGTTTAGCTGTTATTTTGAACTAAAAATGCCAATTAGAAAGTTTAGTGATTTCAGAACTGAACTTTTTATATCTATCCTTTTGTGTCTGCAGCACACACATACACCCTCAAAACCTCCTTTTTTCTTCGTAATTCTTTGCATGCCTCGAATTTTTTTTGCTTCACATTTATCTATGCGCTCAAAGTTTAGCGATTTCAACTTTTAAGAAAATTTTCTAATTAGTATAGTTCATACATGTGCTTAGTAGTAATAGTAATATTGTTTTAGCATACGTGGTTGAAAAATTTTTGAAATTATCATTTATTTTTGCATTTAAATCATCTTGATAAAAGTACTTGTTAAATAGAAACAAAAAAGTAATATAAAAAGGAACTACAACATTTGAAAAACATAAATTTAAAAAAAAAACAATTATTTAATTAAACAAGTGCTTGCGTCTTTAATTGACAATTGTAATTGTAAGCAATCCACCCATTCTGTATCCTTTCCAACTTCATTGATTCACTCAAATAGCTCGCTCTCGCTCTCGTACCCCTGGCTCTTTGTATTGAATCTAACAATATATCAATAATATTCAAAGATATTTTTTACCCTAGATACATTATATATAATGCGTGTACAAAAACAACGAAAGTAGCGCCAATGAAGAATTACAGTTATATAAACAAAAAAGTAATGAACTAACTAAAGTAAACTTGAAAAAATTGCAGTTAAAATTTTATGAACTTGTGAAAATTTAAAAGAATTTGAACAAAATTCTTAAAAACGCATCCAATGTCTGAAATTTAATTTAAAATTTAATTTTTACTAAGAAAATTCAAAATTACTTCAACGCGTTATATTAAAATTTTGCAATTAAATTTGAAAACATACAATTTTGTAAATAAAATTAACAAAAAATTTAAAACAAAACTGTCGCACCGCACAACGAAGGTGAAACTTACAAAACTATTCTATATATAATGTTTCTAGGTCAAATGTCGAGCAAACTATGCTGCAACAACAAACACAACAGCAACAACGACACACCTCTTCCTCCTCGTCCCGTTCCCCCTCTGCTTCTTCCCATGCGTCTGCTACTCATACACCCAGCAGCCAGTCCCTACCCCTTTCCCATGTTCACGCTGCCCCTGGCGCGCCCAGTGCCTCTGCCAGTCCATACAATTTCAATTTCCCCTCTACTGCCGCCGATATGGCCTTCTGGAATCAATTGACGCCCGCCCAACGCCTGCTGCTTACCCAGCAAATCAAAAGCAATGGCACTGTCTCAGGAGCTGTTGCTGCTACCAGCACAGAGCGTTCGAACAGCCTCAGTACCGTTGGCAGTCTTGGTGCCAGCAAAGCTCCAGGTTTTCCTATTTTCCCATCGCTGCCTTTAGACACTGATCTGAAGACTATGCTGGACTATAATCCCCACAAGCATAGCAACAAGAACAGTACGTCCACATGCACCACCAATAATGGACAGTTCACGAAGCCTTCGGTACCGCCACTAATTCCAGTGAGTAGCTCCGCGGAAGCGCCTAGTAAGCGCAGTTCGACTAGCACGACTAGCTCGTCGCGGCATACAAGCTCTTCCTCATTGACCTCCTCCTCATCAGGTTGTGCCACAGTGCCGTTGAATTCAACAGCGTCACTGGAAGATTTCGAAAAGAAGTTCAAAATGACTGATGAAATGAAAGCGGTGGTGCAGAAAGTACTATCCAATCCGGATCTATCCACATTCATTCAGACGAATTCGTCTCAAAATTTTGTTCCTTTTATGTCGCCACCCATTTCGCCCGCGCCCTCACTGTCCATTGTGCCTAATCCGAATGTGACCATTACGCCCCACATTCCCTCACAGTATTCGCATTCGCCACACTCATCTGCTAGTGGTGGCAGCAGTAGTGGACGTCAGAAAAGCGTCATTTGCTCCACCAGCGCAGCGCTGAACGTGCCTCCCTCACCCTCCACCTCGAATTCTACCTCAACCCCCTCTCCATCGCCTACGCGATCGCACGGCTCGTCCGCCTCGAGTACTGGCGGCACGGGCAAGAGTGGCAGCCACTACTCCTCGCAACACTATAACAGCCACCAAAACCACCACTCCTCCCACCATCACCACCACCACAGTCAAAACCATAGCCACCACCAACAAAACCATCATCAGAATACCCCTCCAATGGAAGTAATCGATTTGTCTTCCCCCCGAAGGTCGGTGCAAGCTGCCTCCGCCTACCTGCAACAGCAGCAGGAAGCACATCAAGCTGCCGTCGCAGTAGCACAACAACAACAACGCATGGCGGCCGCTGCTCAACATCATGCACAGCAAAATGGCCGCGCCAGTAGTAGCTCCTCGGCGAACGCCAACTCCGCCAGCATGCACCTGCAGCGACATGCGGCGATGGCCGCAGCTGCTGCCGCGAATAATGCGCAACGGCTATCAATCATACCGGAGATGCAACAGTACGAGCGCGCGGCGAACAACATGGGAAACCAGCCGTACAAGGTGCAGAAGGTATATGTGGACAACCGCCTGGTGCCGTGCATCAACATGAAGGCGTACAATGACTCCGATCAACTGATGACA